CAGATCCAGTTTCCGAAACGTCGTGTTTTTATTTGTTATCTTAAAAACCAGGACGATGGATAAAGTCCAAAAACCTAACATATCAGTGTCTGCTGATTACCCCCCAGTAACCTGAAAACATGCAACTCTAGTCCACCACAATTAATATAACAATTTGAACATAGAGTAAATACAATAACCACAAGCAGAAGAAAGGTACTGAGAGGACAAAGAATAAACATACAAATGTTTGACTAGAAGTATCATCATTGAACAGATCAAAATACTGAAATAAATTTATATATTAAAAATAACTTTTGAAGTGAGAATCTTTCCTGACACAAAACTAATTTAAAATTCATAAAGCTCATGGGTATGGTGCCTCCTAAAGAAAAGAAAGTCTTTCAGAAAAGCCGCTCCAGTTTCGATTATATATTTTCATGAAAATGTGTACCAAAATCACTCTGTGATGTCACTGATTCCAACAGTCATGAAAGTGTAACTGTTTCTAATGGCAACTTCATGAAGCAGTGCTGAAGATGGCATATACAACAGAACAAAAATGAACTCCGTGGCCTGTAGTCAGCAAGCAAACTATACCAATTAGGCGACCACTGCTTGCCAGCAAAGTTAGTGCCAGCTTAAGCAGCCTCCGTAGTCTAGAGGTAACATTCCCACCTCATGACTCGTGGTACGCGGGTTCAAATACCCGGCGGAGGTCGTCAAATTTTTAAGGGTGGAAAAATTCAGGGAACAAGTCCTCCGGGGGGGACTTCAAACTGTGTCCCGTGTCATAACTTTATGGCATGTAAAAGAACCTCATATCCCCAAAGGGGATCACTGAGCCAAATTCCAGGATGTTTCCCGCCCAACAACAGTCTCTAAGGCCTCTAATAGATGGGGGAAGCATTATATATACTGCTAAGCAAGTGGCCGAACTCACTTGCTCGGCGGGACTGATGGTACGCACCACTTATCAGTAGGGTATAGAGACTGGTAGAATATCATAGAGGGAAGCACAATAGATCAAACTGGTCGTGGTGCATGGGGAAACCCACCCTCTCTAAATAACTAACTAACTAGTGCCAGCTTTTGCAGATAGAGGGTGTCACATGGTCAGCAAAATGGATCCCCACGGCTGTTAATCTCGGTTTTCTAGTCCAGAGCCGCTATTTCTTTGAAACAGCTCCTCAATTATCCTCACGAGGCTGAGCGGATCCTGTTCCAGACCCACTACTTCTCAGAAAACATGGTAGCACCAGGAATCGAACCTGGACCTCTGTATCTGTAGCCAGGAACTCTGACCACTAGACCACAGAGGCAGTCACACAACAGTACAGTGCACAAATTTGGTGAAAACATTTTATCACCCAAGTTTTATGTAAATTTAAAGTAAAATATGAATGCAGGAAAATTCAAAGAAATTCTGCAATAAAGAGAGTATTGAGTAAGTCTGAAATAACTGGAACCATATCCATCAGACTGGAGGAGACTGTTGATAAGCAGAAGAAAATCAAAACAGAAGAATACTTTGGACGTTTAACAGAGGCTGATGCACATTCTACATGGCATCTTTTTAAAGCATCTTCTAGAGGCAGCATATAGAATTAAATAAAAATCGGTGAAAGTGTTTCCAAACACAACGGAAAAGCTGCAGTCCCTTAGTGAGGATGATAAAAATGAGAGGGTTGATTGTTACAGTTAATTTCTATATCTTTCAGAGGAGAGTTCTGCAGTTTATGGATATGGGACACTTTCAGTGGAATGACTGTATTAACAAGCATAACATGAATGTATGGGACACAGAAAACACATGAAATGATACTGGTATACATCCAAAATTGCATCATGTGGTCAATCATTCCAGCTTGCTCTATTGTTGGACAACGGTTTTCTTGTAGATACTGTCAATGCTGACTGCTATCTCCATGTCCTCATAGAACAATTTCACCCATTCCTCCAAGGTACATGTCAATTTGAAGGACAATTGCTTTAACAGGAATAATATAGGAATAATAGGAATTAATAGGGCTTAACTGCATACAAAAAATTAAAGTCTGGACATTTTCAATGATTAGAATGAGTTCAGACTTCTGGCATGTTTCAGACATGGCTGGCTAATCCTGATCAGCCAGGGTAGTCTCCAGATCAATCCATGTGATTTCTCATGGAGGGGATTCTTAAAGATAGAGAAACAATCGAGATATAAAGAAATTTCAGCCACTCTGACTAGCATCAATGAATATATTATGGCTGGAGTAATACAAAATATTAAAAAACAACTTATTTTAACTATCAATGGTGTATATACTGATAACAGTTTCATTTGAATTTCACTCTTCTGAGACCAACATGTTCAGTGACAACAAACACAATGATATGCATCAAGTATTTTGTTAAACAAATACAATTAGAGTGGAGTATCTTTTCCTGAAAGCCCTTAAAAAATTAAATACATGCATAAAAAGATACCAATTATAATAAATGAGCTAGCAAAAAAAATTCAGCACCAATACATATACAGAAAATATTATTCAAATTCTCAAAATAAGTTCAAATAATGTATGGAATTTCAAAAACTGGCATGAACAACGCACATGATTCATCAAAAATTGTATAAAATATGCTGATAACTGTGAGCTACTAGTTCTCCCACATTCACTGAAAAATGACTACCTACGTTAACTGCACAACATGCATAACTGTAGAAATAGCTTTCTAGCAACTGGTCTGCATATCTGTTGTTTGTCCTGTGTAAATCAAAACATATTTTTGACAGGATAACTACAAACTAAACATTTCATTCTACACTTCTCAAAAACACTGTCATTTATACTCATGACTCTCATTTAACATCCATTGTAAAGTTTACTCTGGCATATGCCCAAATGAAGCAAGTTATTTCTGGTCTTTCCTCTTATATTCAAGTTGAATGAAGGCCCTTCTAGTCAAAGACATATTCAAAGAATCACTTCACAATTAAGGAAAGGAACATCAATTAACAAACAGAGGTAACAGACACCCTGTTTCCTGCAACAACACTCACTGTGCATGGCAGAACTTTGTGTTGCTTGCCCACAGATGATGTGAAGTAGACTGGCTTATCAAGCCAACTGGCAGTATATTTATGACACTAGAATGGGAGAATATGTATTGTGTGTTGGCCCATCTGAAAACAGTGATTTGGGCTGCAGACAATGGCAATGCCACAAATGACACATTGTGAACATTGTTGTACTTGATGAATGCAATTTCTCATAAACATATGGTCTATTTTTCAACACAACTTAACGAACCACTGTTTTGCTGTGAGACATCAAAAATAGAAACAGAATATTTGTGAACCACAAAGGATTATATGGAAGAAGTTTAACCCCCCCAAGGCATGCTCACAGCAGCGAGAAGTACCTACTTAAATAATCCTGTCCTTCTGCACACACAATATCACTCAAGAGAAAGCTAATGGATTTTCATGAAAATCTGATATTTGGAAGTTTCACTAAAATTCATCAGTTTATTCAAATTCTGGTCTAAATTGGACAAAAATAACACACTCTTTTTATATGAACACCCCCATGCATTTCTGCAGATACCTCAAGCATAACTTGTTGAATGTTTACTGGATGCAAAAATTATTTGAACAAAAGCTGCAGAGAAAATGAAGCACATTTTATGCCCAATACACTTCTCTGTAAATCACAGTTCTCAAGACAATTAAACAACAATTGCTATGTTATGCATATATTTCCTAACTTGTACAGTTCACAATCAATAATGGTCTCCCAAATACATGTGAAGACTACTGAATAATCAATAATGATTTTCCAAAAGCATGCAAAAAATTACTGAAGTCTCTTATTCCTGATAATAATGAAGTTTTCTACCATCTGAATTTACAGACCTATGTGTATAAAAATATATACTCAATTAAGAGGTAATTTTACACATGGAACTTTGAGTTTATGTGAGTACTTAATACATATGTTCATCTGAATGAATATTTAATATATTTGAGTTTATCACAAATATTTGGGAATGAATGTTAGTATGTCATTTATAATTCTGTGCCATTAAGTATACTAAAAAAGTATAATTAGAATCATCAAGTCAAGGAGGATGAGGTGAGCAGGTCATATAGCAATGGGGGAGATGAGGAATGCGTATAGGATATTGGTGGGAAAGCCAGAAGGAAAGAGATCACAGGGAAGACCAAGGCATAGGTGGTTGGACAAAATTAGAATGGATCTTAGAGAGATAGGATGTGATGGTATGGATTGGATAGATCTGGCTCAGGATAGGGATCAGTGGAGGGCCCTTGTGAACACAATGATGAACCTTCGGGTTCCATAAAATGCAGGGAAATTCAGCTTCAGTAGCAGTAGTAGCTTCTGAAGCNATTGCCAAGCTACTGTCTTCCTCTTCCACCATTTCTTCGGCTGTCTGCCATATCAATGTTGAGTTAAAAACCAGTGTTTCAGAGATCTCCATCATCAGGATCAACCCTGATGAAGGAAACAGAGGAGATCTCTGAAATATAGGTCTTTAGCTTAACGGTGACATGACTGCTAGCCTGAAAAGATTTTAGTACATTTATTCACCATGAAACCTTTACATCTTAGGCTTGTTATATATTCAATGAATAATCTAACAAGCCTGTTAACGTCCCCAAGTCAATTCATTTAATAATAAATTGCATACTTTGAAGGTTTTACTCAGTTCAGTGTTCAAATTCATTGCCACACAGAGGCACATCAAACTGGGAGTTCATCATACTTGAACCTGTTCAATATATCAGCATGCCCTCAGAGTTTGGTCTGCGGGTTTAAAAAAATAAATATACTTCTGCAGTGCTGAAAATACACAATTAATTTAAGCATATCTCTGAGTTAAACATATTGAAAATCAGTCTCCCAAATGCCGGTAGATTATACGCTTTGATCATATGTACAAAACACAGGGTCACATAAGCTGCTACATTCTTATGCTCACAGTGACAGAACTTACGCACCTGAATGAGGATCACAGCTTCTCGTAGTCGGAGGAACCTTCGTCGTTCCAGCACAGCTCGAGTCCAACGTTGAATTGCAACAATACTAGCCATAATCTGCTGATGCAACCTGTAGTCCAGCTTTACCTTCTCAGACTCTCTCAAGAAAATTTTGCTGGTACCAAGTTGGTAGTTGTCACGATTCAGATTCAATGTGAAAAGGAAGTCACGTACATCTGCTTGGGAACTGTTGAAACAGTAAGACAGATAGATATAGAAATGAATGTATTATGGTAACAAAATCACGTTTTAATGCATCTAAAAATTATAATGTGAGTGAATTCCCAAGGAAGTAGGTTTGTACAGTAGCACACAAACAAATTTTACCAAACCTGTCTGCACATAACGTATAATCATTCTATTCTAATCATAAAACTGTACTGAGATACCACCATTTTAAATAGTGTGCACCAAATTCATTGTAAATTTGAAATCAGTTATAACAGTGTGCTTCTGTTAAGTCAAGTACATCTAAATAAAATCTAATTTAGTGACTGATAAATGCAGGTTGTATGAGGCCTCTGTGAGAGGAAAACTTCCATAATTCTAAAAATATGGGCACAATTTCATATGGAGTGAAGGTCTGATGCTGGATTCAAACTGGCCATGGATAGGGTCCAATGGCAGACTTCGGTGAAAAGAGTAACAAAATCTTGGAGTTGAATAAAAGTAGGAAACTCCTTGACCAGTTGAATAATTACAAATTGGCCTATACTACAAAGTCATTCACAATGCTAGGTTATGGCCAAGGAGTAGCCTCTACTACAAAGTCATTCACAATGCTAGGCTATGGCCAAGGAGTAGCCTGTACTATGAAGTCATTCACAATGCTGGGCTATGGCTAAGGTATAGCCTGTACTATGAAGTCATTCACAATGCTAGGCTATGGCCAAGGAGTAGCCTGTACTACAAAGTCATTCACAATGCTAGGCTATGGCCAAGGAGTAGCCTGTACTATGAAGTCATTCACAATGCTGGGCTATGGCTAAGGTATAGCCTGTACTATGAAGTCATTCACAATGCTAGGCTATGGCCAAGGAGTAGCCTGTACTATGAAGTCATTCACAATGCTAGGCTATGGCTAAGGTATAGTCTGTACTATGAAGTCATTCACAATGCTAGGCTATGGCCAAGGAGTAGAATGTACTACGAACTCATTCACGATGCTAGGCTACAATACCCAATAACAAAGCCATACTTTGATGGTTCCATGGGCAAGAATACATACCTAACAAGTCCTTTGGGTAACAGGATTCTATACAACTGAATGAACTCATCATACGTCAGTCGAACATTGTAACCAGCTTGTCGAATTCTCACTGTCTCAAGCATACCCGTATAACGCAACTGGCGCTGAACTGTGTCATCATCAAATTTGTTAGGAATCTGTAAAGTAAAAAATTCCTTCATCACCTTCAAAACAGATAATTTGTGAATGTTTTCCACCACCATCAATCAAACTTCCAAGGTAATTATTTCCACAGTCAATCACACTTCCAAACAATTATGATCACCATCCAGCATTCTGCAGTGGCTGGTGTGTGGGAGGGGGGGGGCAGAGAAACTTCATCTGGAATGTCATGTAATCATTTGTTTTGGCATTCCAACTATAGTGGAAACCCCACCTTATGTCTCTCAGTTTAGTTTTTCCACCATTTAACATTCAATTTTATAACCAAATCCCCATTATCAGCATTAAGTTCCTTTAATTTTTACGTTTCCTTGGTTAGGCATTCAAATGCAATACTTTCCCCAGAAATATTAAATACAAATTTTATTGCATATTATTCTCTACATCTCCAAGAAGGATGAGTCAGGTAAAGTCTTTAAAAAGAAAGAATTCATTCTGAGTATTCATCCAAGAATTCTCTGCTCCTGCAATAACTTTTTCTGTTCAATTACATATGACCAAAAATTTGATAAATTTCCTTTTGAATGCCTTCATATAATGGAACAAATGAGGAATTTCCAAGAAAATGTTGGGAGCTAACAGAGACAGGCAGAGATACAGTTTGTGATAGCAGAATACTTCAATGATCTTTGCCTTCCTTCTCAGTAAACTTATTAAATCTCACCAGCTTGTTAGCTAAGTAACACAATTTTTGGCAGCTGGCTTTGTATCACAGAATAATATTTTCAGAGACTTATGGTTTAAAAAAAAATTACCCTGAAATCCTGGGTAATATGTAGGAGATACATAGGAGAGTTTCGGGGGGTTTGTTTGGAGAAAGACATATGAACCTCATTTTCAGTTATAAGTTCATCAATAACTCATGGTTTAGGATGGCTGCATAAAGATACTGTCAATTTTTTTGCTTCATTAGCAACTCTGCTGCTCACCTTATGACTGTTACTCTTTATGCACCGTATGAAAAATGGATTGGCCTGGTTAAGCGTATCCATAAGGCTATGCAGTGACTGCTGAAACTGCGCAGTAACTGTGAGAGGCTGCTTTCTTGCCTTCCCAAGTTGCTGATTGCTACAACCATAACTCTGCGTTCGTCCTGCCAATGTCTTCACAGTTTGCAAGTTCTTCAAACCCTTCTTGCCTCGCTCTCTTGGTCGAAAGGATTTATTTTTCCTGGAGAATTAAATTGAAACCAATTTAAAGAAAGATATTACATTAAAATACAGTGAACCCAAGATGCAAATCACAGACTGAATGCAATCATAATGCTGTGAACCCTATACTCTCAGAGCAAGATTTCATACAGTTCTATTTTAATTACTTTTATTTATATAAATTAGTTATACTATGATTATTTCTGTCTATATAATATTCTATTTGTTTTTGTATTCATTTAAAATGATATCCATATCCACAGAGTTAACTTGTTTATAAGAGATAGTGTCCATATCTCGGGACAATTAACGGATAATTCAATGAGGCCTAGATTAAGTAAAACTGTATATTTTGCAAATATATGCACAGACTCCCTGACATTCACATACTAAAGACTGCTTCAGAGTTATCAGGTAACTAATTAAGTGTAAATTAGACACAGACGAAAGAAAAATTATACATTTTGCAAATATATACACACACTCCCTCATATTCAGGCACTAAACACCACTTTATACAGTTGTTAGGGCAACTAATTAACAATCTATCTACTTAAGTTGCAGACTAAAGAAAATTATACACTTTACAATTATACAAACAGTAAACCGCCAGTTACACACTATCCAAACATTGGGAATTCTTATTCAACAACTAAAAACTGAAACCAAAATTTACCATTTAATTATAAAGGGTTCTGATGACTGAGGTTAGCTCTTTCTAAGGGACCCAACCGAGTAGATGTCTTCCCCTCACCTGGGGACAGAAACAGATCCAGTTTCTGAAAGGTTGTTTTCTAGTTTCTAGAATACCAGATGATGGAAGAAGTTAAAAAAAAAACAGTAATTCTGAAAATTTACCATTTTTATGAAATCATTCAAAGAAATCTGCAATGTGCATATGTTGATCTGCCACTTAACAGTTCTCCCAGCTGCCATTAGCAATGCTAACCTCATGACAGTAAAGTGATATGGAACACAATACTTTAAAAGTTTTCTAGTACTGTACACTCCCTCCATTACCTGGTAAAAATTCTCATGTGTTACATTCAATCTATAAGTTAGTCTGCTAATCCCCATTCTAATTGTACAGGTATTCTTCGATTCAAGTAATAGTTGTGTTACATAAAAAAAGCAGATGGTGACATCACACAACTGGATATAATTTTCCCTTCTCTCCTCACACAATGATCTACTCTTCTTTCCCCTCACCACTCTCAATCAGCCAGCAAGCAATTTACACTGAAGCAAATGCTAGTAATTAGAACTGGTCTAAATTAAAATGATACCACATTTTCAGGCTCCCATATAATTAGTACCTGTACTATGAATATTTCTGATCAGCTGGACTCTGGCAGGGTTGATTACAGTGTTGCTAATTAGTGTGTTTAGTATGTTACGAAATGCAAACTTATCTCAGTATTCCTTTCAGTAAATTCTTCAATAAAATTACACAATAAACAGAAGCTATAAGGGCTGTGTTTTAAGTCTCTAATATTGAAATGATTTAGACAAATTTCAATATCCTTACTACCTCGCCCACCCAGTTGGCCTAGAGCAAGAACTACAAAAGAGAGTTCATCCATCAACTGTGAAACCCTTGGGGGTCCAGTTCTTTCAACATGTTCTTTCGAATTTCAATCATACTACTGACTTCTGGGATGTGATGTCATGTAGTTTGGTAGACAGGCATCAACGTTTTGGATGGACATTCCAATTATGATCTGTGTTTTAGGCCTGACTCATAAATTACATTACTTTTATTTTATTTTTCATCGCTAATTTACTTCATGCTGTCTTTCCACTTCCTTTTATCACTTTCTAGTTTATTATATTAGTTTTATTAGCTTAGAGTAGTTTATTTTATCTTTACTTACTTCACATTTTTGACCTTCCCTCTTTTCCTGTCCTCTCACCAGGCTCTCTTAGGGGTAAAGAGTAGTTTATTTTATCTTTATTTACTTCACATTTTTGACCTTCCCTCTTTTCCTGTCCTCTCACCAGGCTCTCTTAGGGGTAAAGAGTAGTTTATTTTATCTTTATTTACTTCACATTTTTGACCTTCCCTCTTTTCCTGTCCTCTCACCAGGCTCTCTTAGGGGTAAAGAGTAGTTTATTTTATCTTTATTTACTTCACATTTTTGACCTTCCCTCTTTTCCTGTCCTCTCACCAGGCCCTCTTAGGGGTAAAAGGTTACACTGCCCCTAGTGGTTCTCTAATAGCTCAAGTCCTACCTTCCCTATATCACTCACCATTTTTCCCACCATGCAACTATCCCTTCTTTACATGGAGTCAGCTAGTTCCTCTGAAAGGTTGGTACCTGTCCACCAAACTACACAGAATCACTTTCAAGGAGTCAGCAATCTTCATGGTCACCACCAGAAGAATTGCAAATATGACTTCCATTACACAATGTTCATTCTGACTTGGAGACGCTTTCTTCTGAATTTATGACTAATAACAATGAAACATATGTCAGATAAATGACACTGCAAAAATTCACTGATATGATCTAATAAGTATAATACTCACATATTACAAATTGAACTCTAATTATCCAGAATATCAGAAAATGTGCTAATATATCAAATCATACAAACCTATTTCTGTAATTAAAAGAAAAAACTAATTCCATCTGGGCCTATTTACACTAGTAAGGAAAATATTCACTACATACATCTAACATGTGTAGAAGCAGTAGGAAATATATGCTCTAACTCCTACAAGCATGCAACAGTCATTTGTTATTTTATCATAAGAACAGAGGAATTATGACTGTACAACTATTGATTACATTTGCAAAATCCACCTGAGTTCATGCAGACATCTTATACAAGTGTTTCGCCACAAATATTGCATCTTACAAAAGTGGAGTATCTGTTACAGTAACATTGGTCATGAGGAAAACTTCCAAGTACAAGTAATCATTTTAATAACAAGAAACAACATATAGCACGAACAACCTTCTTTCTAGATTGTCTAGCCTTGTGGGATGAGATGCCCCAGTTGGCAGGCCAGGTATCACTATTACACAGAAGCACCCCACTTGTTATTTCATTCTGCATTTAGAGAAGAGGGAATGGAAAAGATGAGGACCATGGCCTTGCTTCAGAGTTTTCTCTCAGCAGACATATAGGCACAGACAAAGTCACATATTCTTAAGCACAGTACTAGACAATTGTGACTACCAGATTCACATCAATACTACTTTAGCCCTAAGGGCAGAGCTCATGGTGACCACTGGACAGGAAGTCGAGTAGGTCCCACAGCTAGTCTGGACATAAAAGAAAAAATCCGTACCTCCACTATAAATCAAACCACTTCTCCTGTCTATAATATAGTAACTATACTGACTGTCTAATCCAAACTCAATATTCAAATCTTTCTTTTGATATTATAAGCAGTGGCTACAAACATGAAAATTTATAACGTTTTAATTAACAATGGGCAAATACACCATGGTACAGTCACCTGGACTGCTCATATAAAGAGGCATTCAATGAACAAAGCAAACAGTACATAAGTTCTCACACAAATATAAAAAAAAATACCTCTATAATCCAAGTAAGGTAAGGAAGACTACAGAAATGAAATGACTTTCATATCGGTAACTCTAGTCTTGACTTCTTCAAACAAATGACCATGTCTGTTAAGTCATCCTAAAGGGCAATAAATTACAAACAGCGTAATTGAAAAAAAAATCAAAGAATACTCCAATGTAACCACAAATGTTGTGCTATTTTGCCACTAGATCATAACAAAATATGAACAGTGACACAGAAAAGTGCTTTCTGGAATTAACAGCACCATTATCAGCTACCAGATTTACATACAAGCAAGCACTTCCAAAATTTTCAATATAATCTTTTAAGCTGCAACAGACACCCCTCATACATGTACTCAATGCAACAGTTTATTACTATGAACTTCTGTAAGCAAGAGGTGCGCTCACAATAGTCAGAAGGGAGTGGGGGGGGGGAATTCTGAAAGAAAAAAGGTGTGCCTTACTGCATATTTGGCAATGGTTACATCCAACTGCCATTTGTGGGAAGTATGTACATACATTATAAAAAGGTAATATAATTTCAATAGAACTTGAAATTAATCTGAAGCTTCGCTGTCATAGAAATCTGTAAACAAAAACTAGAATCTTTATATTATGCAGCCCAAATTCTACTGGAGTCCAGAGACAAAGCCCAGTTACTACAGAGAGCAGCCACAAAGTCAACAGATGAATAATTTTAATTTCAGGTGTCCTTAATTCTAAGAGCAATACGGCATACACCAAATTTCAATTCTTCTAGGATGTGATGTCATATAGTGATAGATATTACATTTCAGAGGAACCTGCTATATCCATCTATCCTGCAGATCTACATGGCATCATAACCAAGAAGACAGTAATTTTGATACCTATTACCATGTGAAGTTCAACTCTTGTAAATGCGCATGTCTGTATCTTGTGCCTATTTTCTATCCTGTGTCAAAGAATTGAAATGTGTCGTGTTATATGCACACTCATCTCTTTTTGGGTGACCTTGAATTCTTAAACATGCAGTCTCTTACAGAAGCCTACCACAAAAACAAAACAAAAAGATGATTGTGAACTGAAAGATTTTAATAAGAATAGAAGAGGGAACAAATAATAAAGCTGTAAGGAAACAAAAAAAATGCTCAAACCCAATTAGGCCCAAAGCAAAGAATGGACAGCAACACATATCCTCACAGGAACAGAAAAGAAAATCTTGGATTATACTTCACAGTATGACCCTATATCAGCAATACAGGCCACCAAGATGATTGAAATAAAAGAAGTCAAGAGTAACTGTGAAGGATACCACCTTCTGGGATGTGAGGCCATGTAACTGGCTACATGGCATCATAACACAGCAAATAGAATTCTTCATAGTCACTGCCATGAGAATCTCAAATCAAGAGCAACTACTCATATTCAGTTCTCATTAACTAACAACTCCAGTGGCTGAGAGGAAATCTTTTGCAAAAAGAACAACATGATTAAAAAAGGAACAAGAAGGAGCCTTTATCAGACACATTGCTACAACTGGGGAACTAACTCAGGATTGTAACAGGGAAGAGCAGAGTCAATTGAAATACATAGTTCGTATACCAAATTTCATACATAGAGTAATGTCTGTAAAACATTTAATGTAATGAAACACATAGAATTAAAAAAATTTAACGCAATTTCCATTTTTTTGTTTTATGCAATCCATACATTACTTGCAACCTTTATTAATGTGGATATATTATGGCTGACCATAAAATTTTCTCTAATATTACCAATTTCCTTTAAATATATAAAACCAGTAATCAACTATATATGAAACAGTCTCTTCTCTGTATAAGATAGGAAAGCATACAATGCAGTAATCAAGTGAAACAGGTGCTATTTTGATGTATTTAAAAGTTTTCAACAACATGACTAGTCAGACAAAAATGTGTTCCATACTCATAGTTACATAAAATAGCAACAATTACAGTTTGGACTCATACATATCCTAATAGTACATGTGCATTCACACTGTATACCATTAAACCTGTGCATAAACTTAACTTTTTACAATACTGTTTTTATTTGGAGAATATGCATATTGCCTATCATAACAGCTTCAGCATATATAATATTGTGCAAACCTACTGAAAGCAGGAGACATATTTCAATAAGGCAGTTACATAAAATAATTTGACAATTCAGTAATAAAGTTTTTAGTTAATGCACCACCTGAGGATGACTTGTGAGGAAGAAAGAGGTAGTGACTTTCAACAGCATATCTGTCAGTTGTTGGTATCAATGGGGGTAAGTCAATAAGTAAGTTAAAAATGGATATAGAACTTATACAAATAAGAGTACTGATTGGAAAAATGCTTTTATTTCTCAACATACTCTCCCTGTACATTGAGGCACTTGTCCCATCATTTCACAAGCCCCTGAAGACCAGCAGCATAAAATTCTTTGGGCTGCTGTCAGAACCAAGCGGTGACTTCCCTTTCTTCAGCTTCTTCGTCGGGAAAATGTTCAGCTGAAAGATGATGTTTAAAGAGGGCTGAACAAATGGAAGTCGCTTGGAGCAAGATCGGGGCTGTATGAAGGATGCTCGAGGTCTTCCCACTTGAAATTTCGCACCATCTCATTTGTCTTGTTGGCAGTATGGGGACGCATGTTGTCATGCAAGAGCAACATGCCTCTGTTGAGGAGTCCTGGTCACCTCCGTTGAATGGCCTTACAAAGTTTCCTGAGCATGTTACAGTAGGAGTCAGCATTTACAGTTTGTCCTTGAGGCTGGAATGCGGTGACCAGTACGCCTTCATGATCCCAGTCGCTGCCTGGTTCCGACAGCAGTCCAAAGAATTTTATGCTGCTGGGTTTCAGGAGTTTGTGAAATGATTGGACATGTGCCACAATGTACAGGAAGATTATGTTGAGAAATAAAAGCATTTTTCAAATCAGTACTTTTATTTAAGTTCTATATCCATTTGTAACTTACTTATTGACTTACCTACATATAATTTCTGTACTTGCTAAACACAACAGGATGCAGAATTTAAAAGACAACTCAGACTGACTGTACTGTCAGCACCTTCTTTTCATTGTGGGTTATTTAACAATGTTTTTTTTTAAGTATCAAGACTATGTATCACTGTATGATAGGATAACTGATGAAATAACAAGACTTGGAAGGAAGCAGTCATGGCCTGAGATATTACCATGGCATTTGCCTGGATGGACTGAGGAAAATCAAGGAAGACCTATCAGGATAACCAGAGCACCTCCCAAATACAAGTCTGCAGCATTACCTCTATACCAACTTGTTAGGTCTTAGCACCTGCTAAACCCAGTCTGTGTCAAAGACCAGTTGGTATCTCAATCAATAAATGATGAATAAAATTTCAGGTCGAAACACTATTGGGTAATGATAATAATGAATCTTAGCAATATGAATTTTCCTTGTAAATCTCAAGGAACTAGCACAATACTCCCCACACATCTAAACCTGGAGTTATAATGGCTTCTTAGCTCTGACCAGCCCATTAAGGAGACCATATGAGAAGTTGCACTAATGCTAGCATTCTTCTCACTTACACAAGAGAAAGGTACATCAAAGAATGAATAAAAAGCTGTAAGTTAAATTATAAAATTGACTTTTCCATATGTAAATTGGAGCAGCTGAGACTACAGCCAAAAATGCAAACAAACTGGTATACTTGATTGATTCTTAGATCATTACTGAGCCTTCATCAACTCTATTGGTTATACAGCACTACAAGTAGTCTAGCAGATACAAAGACTGTATAAACTGAAGAAAGAAGATGTATGATTTGTGGAGACAATACAGAAATACATGCGAAAGAGTTAAGAGAATGGTGCCGTAAGTTAAAAGACCCCCATGAAAAATCTATCAATGTGTCAATAAAAATGTTGGTTGCTTCTGATAATATCCAAATTCTGCGCTACAGGGAACCGACACTTTGTCATGTACCACTATCTGATAGCAAACGTGTAGAAGTTGCTCTTGAGTTGTATGTGTATCATTCCACCATATCTGAAGTTAATAAGCTGTACTGCATTTTTAGTTGCGTTTATGTTTCACCCAAACCTTCTACCAATGCATGCTGCAAGATGCAAATTTCCTCCACCACTGTTCCTATCAGGAACAAGAACATTACGTACATGACAATCTGATTTGCTCGTTCCAACACTTTGGCTTCATCTGGACACAGTACCCTCTCCAGAGCTCCTTGCTGTCGATTCATAGAATCTCTTCTGGCCCGTGTAGATTGCTGAACACCTGTTGCTAAGCTAATCATTGGTGACATATTATCACATACTGGTGAAGGTGGAGCTTCCCTGATAATGGAGAACTCCCTCTCATTTCGTTGTTGAGGACTCGATGTACTGGTGTTACGAAATTGTGGCCACGATAATCGATTATGGTTGCTATTTGGATCTGATTGTAATCCAACCTGAGATTCATTGCTATTTATATTTCGTTGTTTCTGATAACCATATGACGATCGAGAAGATCCACTAATATTGCTGTTATGTTTAGGTGAGAAGCTGGAAAATGTCAGTGTTATTTTTTTATGTAGGCATGAAATAAGTGATAAATTTTTCTGCCAACATACAATTATTCACATACAAAGAAAAGTACTGAAACTATCAACAAGATTGCTGGAATAAGGTATGACTTTATAATATATATGGTGCACAAATTTGGTACACATATCTGAAACATTTTAATACTACTGAATAGGCTAAAAGTTATCAGTATGGGATTTGAGTCACTAACTAAACAGGCTGTGCCATAGCTCAAGCGGTTAGTCACTGGCTTCCCACCGCGGTGGCCTGGGTTCGATCCTGGGTATGGTCAAGTTGGATTTGTGGTGGACAAAGTGGCACTGCGGCAGGTTTTCCCCAAGTACTTCGGTTTCCCCTGCCAATCTTCATTCCACCAACTGCTCCCCAATCACCCTCACCAATCATCTGGGACTGGTACAATAGGCCAGAAGTGGCCGCAGTACAAGAGACTTAGTCCCACCCCACTAGCAATAAAAAAATACTAATTAAACAATTCTGTTAGAGAAAATGAATAACCTGTATTCATGACTGATCTTTTACAAATGGAGACAGACAAACTTGGGCATGAAAAAATTAAAAATTATAATACTAGCTGAAGTACAACATTAATAAGGAATAGTGGGAGTGCACAGCTGTCAAATAACACACTATAATCAGTAGTATTGAGAGCCAAGCAACCTTTGCAACTGTAAAGTAATGCTGTTATTATGAGCAATTTCTTAAAAACCTCACTTCTTCCTTTCAAACAAGTGTCACAACATGGCACATTATCTATATGCACATATTTCTTTAACCAATCAACTATCATTATAACATTGTCACTAAGATATGTGAAATAACAGTTCCCTTCTCTCTAATAAGGTTTAGCCCAGGCTGGCCGAGTAACCAGTTCTTCATCCACTGAGGACTGTGGGCCACAATCATATATTAAAACTCTGCATTAAAAATCAACAATTACAAATCAGTTTCAATGATTCTGTGGAATGTTTCTGTTTTGTGGAATTAGTTGGTTAGTGATGGTACCTCTTGCCATATCACAACAATTTGTCTGAACTGGAATATTTCCCACCCTTGATACATATATTGGTAAAATAAATGACAGATGCCTGCATCACAACTCACTGAATAGTTAAAATTTTGTCAAAGTCATACTACTGTTCAAGAGTTAAAGAGCAAGCAGGCATACATACATACATACTTAAAGAGCTAAGCTCTTCTTGAGAAGGCAAATCTGCAGCTACTCAAGAATTCCCCAACATTTTATGGAAACCAAAGGTTCATTACCATGTTTACAAGAGCCCTCCACTGGTCCCTATCATGAGCCATATCAATCCAATCCATACCATCCCATCGTATCTCTCTAATATCCATTTTAATATTGTTCACACTCCAACGCCTTCGTCTTCCCAGTGGTCCCATTCCTTCTGACTTTCCCACCAATATCCTATAGACCTCTTCTCCCACATTCATGCTACATGCCCTGCCCACATCATCCTCCTTAACTTCGTCATTTGCAGACAGACATGCATATATATAATATGGACGCTGTTGCTTTCACATCATAATGCAGAACATCAGAATTACAATACATACTTTCATTCATATTCAATGATCTGATAATGTTTTTGCAAAAATACACAGTAACCTATCATGCTTACTCTCTGGTTTACAATTATGTCCCCTCTCCCCTCGTCACATAATGACCAGATCCCATGATGACAGAAGTACATTACAACTTATCTAATATAGTAGCTTCTACATGATGTAACATTTCTCTAAGCAAAGATAAATGTTTCTGAACTTTACAGTCAGAAAGTCTTAAAATATAACTGATAACAACTTCTTCAAGTAGAATTCCTCTAAGTGTCTGAGCAGTAGATACTACAACTACTAAAACTTGTTCAAGGAAAATTATAATAAGAACAAGCAATTCCCAGCAAAGAAAAACAAAAATATCCTCTTAAGTCATTAACCTACTATTAAAAACAAATTCTCTAAACAGTGCAATGTCTAGTGTATATGTATATATAATGCAGGCAATAGTATGAGGGAAGAACATGAGCAGGCACATAACAATCATGTCAACCATAAACAGAGTCATGCCAGCAGTAGTACATGGTGAGGTGAAGAATGTCAAAAAATAAGAACCAAAACTTATAACACACTGCAAGAAATCGGATAACAGTGACCGAAGGTACGATCACTTACGCGATCCTGTTAATCGTAAGATTCACCGCAGAAACTGTCACTAGATGGCTAAGAGGAAACAAGAAATCCTATTTAGTGGCTTTACAGGTATATAATTACTGCATGAAAGAACTTCGACAAAAATTATATCAACTATGATTCACATATTCTGGTAAATTTTGAGTTTATCTTGAAAGTTACATTGTTGAATACCAAAGAACCGAGTTCCATTAAGATACTCAATTTCAAAGGCTGGTAAATGCACTGCACATAATATTTAAATATAAATACAGAAAAAGAAAAGAAGTCCATCTACAGAGTAACATACTTCTACTTTAGGTAAAAAATGTAAAAGAAAAGCTTTACCCCCGCTGGAAGATTCCCGGTACTCATTTCTGTTAGAGGCTGAGTCAACCCCAAGGCCATAGTGCAGCTGGAAGGATTAGGTAAACTGAGAAAGTCCACCTCATCAGGACTTGAACCAGCAACCTTCCGGCTTGTAGCATAGTGCCTCGACCAACTATGCTACTGCGTACCCCATTCCTGTTTTAGGTTCTTAATATAATCTCAATTAAAATGATGTTAAATCTATAACTTTCCTAGAGACACATACAAGAATTCAAAAACTTTAGTGCACAGCTCATTTGACACACACAGTACTAACTGCACAAGTGATAACTGTGAATAATATATTAAATATAAATGTAAATCTCACCTGATCAAATTCTCATTTGGTGTGTGGTTTCTGTAACGGCTCTGTATTGCACTTGGTTTATTGCCATCTGTTGAAAAGCACATACAACAATCATACACAGACTTTTTCAGAAGAGAAAGTGACTGTCATTAGGTCAGCATAATGAGGAGACGGCCTATGTACTAGAACAGCAATACAGGATAAAGAGAATTACCACTATCTGATGAAATTAAGCAATGCCTCACCTCTGTATTGCCTGTGCCTTCTGCCAGCTTCATGAAAAGCAAAATAACCTCGGAAGAAAGCTCGGACAATGGCCCAGCGGAACACGGCTACAGGATCTGCACCAACCAATTCTCTCACGAAAGCCATACTACTGTTTTTTAAAACACCAACAATATCTTGACGCATCAAGTCCAAGTTTTTCTCCCTCATTTCTGTTACCTGCCAAATACCAATACCAAAAATTAAAGTTCTCTCCATTACTACACTCAACTCTCAATTATCCGGGGGCGGATAAACTGGTTTGCGGCTTGGATGTTGTTTAATATTCATTCACTTTTGTTTCACATGGTGATCTGTAACACTATTTTCGCACTAGTGTGAACCGAGCTCTGCATTTTTTGGTCCCATTATGCTAACACAATATTCTAGGGTAGGGGTGAAAGAATGCAAGGATTTGTGGAAAGTTTCAAGGACAGACACACCGCCCCAGTTAGTCTCTTTGTATTGATCTTCAAGTGAGTTAGCAAAATGTCAGGGTGTAAAAGGAAGCATGTTGTGTTAAGTATTCAACAGAAACTTGAAATTATCAATCAGTTGTGAAAAAGAGGTGTAGTTAAAGAATTAGCAATGCAATACGGTATTGGAGAACAAACTGTTAGTGATTTGAAAAAACAAACGAATCAATTAATCCATGGATTCACTGGATTAAGTGAAAATGAGATAGCCATAGAATTGACAAAATTGGCTAACCAAGTTCATGGTGGTGAAGAAGTCAACAAGGAAAATATAAGAGAGTGGTTTGACTGTTACTCATGTGAGCCGGGCTTCGAAATGTTAAGCAGTGATGAAATCTACGTTCAGTGGGGGTGCAGCAAGAAGAGCGGGAAGAAAGTGAGAATGAGGAAGAGGTGGACAGTGCTGCTAGTAAGAAAATATCACATGGTGCTGCTCTTAATCATTTGGAATCCTTACTAGACTACCTTGAGAGTGAAGAGAACAGTTTATTAAGCGACAAGCTAATATAATGTAGGCTTCGTACAGATATCAGTAAAAAGGAAAATGCCTTGAAAAAACAAACGACAATATTAAATTTTTTTAAGCATTAAGTGTGAATATTTGTAAAAAGTGTTGGATGTTGTTGAACACTGTGATCGAAATAACTAATTCATACTTCATTGTAATGTAAAAAAGTATTAAATAGGCCATGAGATGACATAAGAATGAGGTTGAATAAATTTAAATACAGGTAGGCCTATAGTATTATGAAAGTACAGTATTACAGTACTAGTTTTAATAAAAATTGTCTTAACCGGGTTTTCGATTAATCGTGATTTCTATCCCCACAATTATCCCGGATAATGGAGAGTTGAGTGTATATGTACTGTATGTAGTATATTTTATACTTATTTTTCCTCTTCTTTTTGTGTCACCTTACGTATCTCCATTCAGCTTCAAACCAAACACCTGCATCAAGTGGTGCTGTCCATGACTCACAGGTTTGTTAGTATGATTTATTTTCTGTAACTGCTTTTTGAGTTTGTCCAGTTACAACTACATGTTCATAACCAGCAGCAAAATGAGCATAAACTGCGTGTTCAATCTGGAACCTCTTTGCAACTTTTTAAAAGCAGTTAAATGTACAGAAGAAAATCATACGAGAGCAACAAAACAGTCAACATCAGTCAGAAAATTTACAAAAGGTTGGACTGGTTTGAATCACTAACACCTTTAAGCCATTCAGAGTGTTTAAACATTTCATTTTCATAAATATAAACTGTTCTAAATATATTTATAAATGTGGAAACCATAACTCTTACTTTCTCAAATGCTGTTCTTTTCACATACTTTACAATGCTTTTACATGTCAAAACACTAAAAAGCAGTTCAAACTAAATGGGACATCTATAAATAAATTTACCTGATACTTGACTTTGCCGGCATAATGCCTGACAATAAATGCTGCTTCTCTCCTTTGTGGAATTTCATAAAAGTTATTTTCCTTGTGGACTGAGTTGAATTTCTGAAGTAGAGTTTCATTTGTTGCTCCAGGAAAACTGAAAGGAATGGTGATGTAAGTACAAAATCAATGGATGGACAGTGTGCTAATTTCTTCAAAACTGTCTAATGAAGCTGGTTTTATTAGTATTTCCTCCCATATACATAACAAGCACTGCAGTAAATTTGGTGATTACATTTTCTCTTTCTATGTACTTGCACATGATTCACAAGGCTATATTTTAATTCGTGCCCAGCGTATGCATATTTTCTAAAACTGCAACTTCAAATTATTTCACTTCTGACAGTGTCATATGTTCAAATAACTATGTTAGTTCTTTTCAATGCCATGCCACATTTCAATGCATTCTGTATAACTTACCAACAACTTACCAGCAACGACAAACAAGAAGCATATTTTCTGATTATTTTTACGTTCAGTCTACTTCTGCAATTCATATACCTTAAAAAATTATTTTCCCAAACTTTATTATGATGCCTCCAGCTTTATTAATGTTTGAGTTAAAGGTCTGTATTTTATGTATGGTAGAATACCGACTACCGTGTTAGGTGGGTCCCTTGTCACCACGGCATGGTGCGTCCTCAGGTTGTGGATGGAGGAAACGCCCTCCAGTTTTGGAGAAAAGCTGTGAATATATTGAATAAGCAGTCATGGCCAGCTGATAAGGGGTGGCCCTCCAGCTTGGGGGGTTGGGCATGAGGCTAACAACTCCTTGACGTAAAAAATTACTTTGTTACGAAAATGAATACAAAGCCTTGGACCTGGACGGATTCCTTTGATAAACGACCTAAGCTACAGTAAATGGATATGAGATTTAGCACTTGGAATGTTCGAAGTTTGTATAGGGCAGTGGCAGAAGAAATCTTACAACATAAGTTAGATTTAGCAGGGTTACAGGAGAACAGATGGGATGGAAATGGCATCGCACCAGCAGGAGACTATACATTTTTCTATGGAAAGGGGAATGAAAATCATGAATTAGGTACAGGTTTTTTCGTACAGAAGTGAATTGTATCAGCAGTTAAGAGGGTAGAATTCGTTAGTGATAGGATATCATATATAATACTAAAAGGTCGCTGGTGTGATATCATTGTTACGAATGCTCACGCCCCAACAGAAGATAAAATTGATATCATAAAGGATAGATTCTATGAAGAACTGGAACATGTATTTGATAAATTCCCGAAGTACCCTATGAAAATTTTGTTAGGAGATTTCAATGACAAAGTAGGGAGGGAAGACATTTTCAAACCAACGATTGGGAATAAGAGTTTGCATGAAATAAGTAACGATAATGGAGTTAGAGTAGTAAACTTTGCCACATCAAAAAATCTTATTGTCAAAAGTACAATGTTCCCACATCGTAACATCCATAAATTTACTTGGACATCTCCTATGGGAAGATACACAATCGAATAGACCATATTTTGATATATAGGAGACAGCACTCAAGTATACTTGATGTCCGATCATTCAGGGTAGCAGATTGTGATATTGACCACTACCTGGTGGTGGCAAAGGTTGGGGAAAGACTGGCAGTGAGCAAACAAACAAAACACAGAGTTCATATGGAGACGTTCAATCTCAAGAAATTAAATGAGGTAGAGGGTAAAGAACAGTATTGTGTAGAAATCTCAAATAGGTTCACAGCTTTGGAAAACTAGGAAACTGAGGTGGATGTTTATAAAGCTTGGGAAACTACGTGTATTAGAGAGAATATAAAAATGTCTGCCAAAGAGAGTCTAGGTTATTATGAACTGAAGAAGCATAAGCCATGGTTCGATGAAGGATGCTCAAAATTATTAGATCAAAGAAAGCAGGCCAAACTGCAATGATTACAGGATCCAAACGAGTTAAATGGGGATAATCTGAACAATATAAGATGTGAAACCAGCAGGCATTTCAGGAACAAAAAGAAGGAATATCTGAAAGTCAAAAGTGATGAGCTTGCAATGAACAGTAAGGACAAGAACATTAGAGACCTGCAAAGAGGAATAACTGACTTTAAGAGGGGTTACCAGCCTAGAGGTAACTTAGTGAAGGATGAGAATGGTGATCTGTTTGCAGATTCCCACAACATTTTGAATAGGTGGAGGAACTACTACTCTCAGTTACTGAATATACATAGGGTCAGTGATGTTAGGCAGAAATTCATACAGCTGAGCTGTTAGTAAATTAGAATATACAAAACTATAATTTTGCCTGTGGTTCTGTATGGGTGTGAAACTTGGTCTCTGACATTAAGGAACATAGAATGAGGGTGCTGTGAATATTTATACTGAAGAGAGATGAAGTGACAGGAGGTTGGAGAAAACTGCATAATGAGAAGCTTCATAACTTGTACTCTTCTCCAAGTATAATTAGAATGATCAAGTCAAGGAGGATAAGGTGGGTGGGGCATGTAGCATGAATGGGGGAGACGAGGAATGCATTTAGGATACTGGTGGGAAAGCCAGAAGGAAAGAGACCACTGGGAAGACCAAGGCATAGGTGGGTGGACAATATTAAAATGGATCTTAGAGAGATAGGATGGGATGGTATTGATTCGATTGATCTGGCTTGGGATAGGGACCAGTGGAGGGCTCTTGTGAACACGTTAATGAACCTTCGGGTTCCATAAAACGCTGGGAAATTCTTGAGTAGCTGCAGAATTGGTGGCTCCTCCAGAAGGGCTCAGCTCAATGAGTGAGTAAGTAAGTAAGATTACCAACTATCCAAATTAAATAGTGATAAAGTTTGTTAGATAATTGGATTAAACTCTTATCCAAGAAAAAACACTATTATAATGTACTGTACTACTATAATATTGAAAACCAAGAGCTTTTAAAAAGGTGAAATAAAAAAAATTAATATTTGTAATTATAAATTAACATTTTCAAACACTTTATTTTAAAAAGTCCAACAATGATATTTGTTTAGCAGACAGACTCCTTGGCTGGGTGATTCAGTTAACTGGCAATTCGGATAATCAGCTTTCTACTGTATTTGCAAATGTCTAACAGAACTGGGATCAACAAATGTTTATTTCCTCTTAATATTATATAATTAACTGCCAAATACCACAAACATACATAATTACAACAAAATTTAAATAAGAAAACAAACAAAAAAGTGTTACATGAGATAGAAACGAACAAAACAGTAGAATGGATAAGTGACATAGAGCATCCTGCTTCAGCATGGATTTGTTCCACAGAAATCTTACTTGCCCCGAGCAGGAATTAAGGTCAAATCCGGAAGGTGGAATGTGTGATTTCTAGCCAAAACAACACATCCCTTCCAAGGTGTGGTAGGATGATGTGGGTCATCAAAGTTTTCTCCCTCAATATGTTATTATGTCCCAAAAAATTTATAAAAAGGGACCATAGCACTGTTACAGAAACTTACACTGCTGATCATGCAAATTACATGGCCATGATTTAGTAGGAAAACCCCAGAGGATAATGAAGAGACTGATTAAAAACTATGATGAATAATAATTCCAACTAATTTCGTGTATTAAAATTCATGACTCATGAAAAGGACTGCAGAAGGGTGAAGTAATTTAAAGGTACTAAATCAAACTACTCAAGCCAATTTTACAGATTAATGGTGATTGCCAGAAATAATAAAAAATACACAAAAAAACACTAATCATGTTAGGGGGTTCTGGTGTTCAATCAGTAGTTTTCTCAGGTGCCTGATATGAGCCAACATACTGCACTTTAGAATTTATACAAAAAAAAAAACTTATTCTAAACTGACCTTTGCCAATCTTGCCAGCTTAAAAAAAATGATAATACATTAAAACTTCTGATCATAGAAATGCAGCTAAGTCTGGCACTTTCTTGACCTTCGATTAGACACTTTTGTTTCGCTAGACGGTGTAAGTCAGGCCGTTAGTTACACAGCAATTTAAAAAATTAGAAGCCAAATTATAATTCTACCTGGACAAACATACATGCCCCAAAACACAACTATATGAAAATGCTTGCAATAAGACCACTACAAACATCAAAAGAAGTTATAATTAATCCTTATGATAAGAGCTCAAAAAAGATTCTTATAACTGTGGTATCATTTTTCAAATGATTTACATTTATCTATAACCTACCTTGCCAAAACAAGGCAAAACCATAAGTAAAATATTGGAAATGGTCAATCTTTCAGTGAAGTGCCCCAAGAATAAACACAATTAAACTAATTTATTAATATAATGGTTTTAGTTCACATATCTAACTTATTATTTAGTGGTACCCATACAAAAACATATTTAATCTTTGCCCTTCTTAAGAAGTACCCACAGTAGTACACGATTCAGGTGATTTTATTTCATTATTCAGTCAGGTCTCAGACGTTTCATTTCTACAGTATGTCAAGTTCAAACTTTATTTCAGCACACTCACTTGCATTGGTCATCCAACATGCACAGAAGGCCATTGGGTTTCCCTTCTATCAGCTGGAGGCAGGCTGTATTATCCATGAACTCAATGTCTGTCCAGCGGATACCTTCCTTACGATATTCTTCTTGTTCATACTTAAAAACATGCTGATTGAAATAATACTGCAGATGCTCATTAGCATAGTTGATACAAAACTGCTCAAAGCTAAAAAGAATACATAAGAATATCATTTAAATTACAATTCTTGCGGCACATGCAGGGTATGAAATATTGAAGTGCTATCCTATCAAAGAGATCCCCAATTGTCTCATTTCAGTTTTTAATACCATTTTCTACATTTCTCACATCCGTAACTATTCTGCTTTGTAACAGATATGACGACAACGCATCTTGTATGGAGGGAATCAATTATTTACAAAGCTGAAAAATCTTGAATCCACAACATAACCATGTGGAACACACCAATATAATTACCTCATATAAAACTCTGTCTCTATTCTCATTTTCCATGAGTACTGACAGCTACAGTTACAGCTGTAACCGACAGATGTAGAAAAACAGCAGTCTCCATACCTACCAATGTGAGAACCTCAAACCCAAAATAGTAGTCTGTGATCAGGTTACCATAACACATAGCCAGATCCTCTTAACCCCTTACATATCAATAACAGTAAGAATGTTTACAATTCTTATTACCTGTTCAATAAATCTAAATTTTCAAAAGATGTGCTGAATTTCCAGTGATTTCATAAGCAGATTCTTTGGCAAGAAATTTATAATTCATAACAGATGTGTAACAGGAAATGTTCATATTACCTGTTGCATAAGCCAAAATCCTCAAAGCCAAAGATATCAAGGACTCCTATTGAGTTTCCCTGATGATCTCGAAGTGTATCCTTCTTGGACAGGAGAGCATGGTTCACTTGAAGGACAATCCAATCAAACAGGGCTCCATACAGACACTTTGCCATAGCATCACGAGCAGCTATAGCCTACAGGACACCATCATAAAATAAATTCATTATAAAAAAGGAGAAAGGAAATAGAATTTCATTGAAAAAAGTCTTAAATTTTGTCAAAATACTATGAATTATTAATCAGATCTTCAAACAATCATTACTTTCTAGGCACACATAATACAAATTCATAAAGCACTTACTAGACCAACATTACATTATGGTGGTTGTAAGATCTACAAATTCCACAAATAACACAATGTATAATAGATATACGAAAGGACATGTTGAAAGGAAAAGCTCTGACAGAATTCCAAGAAGGATTTGATTTTGTAACATCTGTAATAGGTCTCAATGGGCCTAGGAATAAAAAGGAGGGGGGGGGCCAGCGGTGATGACGGTGGCGGGAGTAGTACTATACAAAAGTTATGTTTACCTATATGCAGTGAAAAGAAACGATGCGTAACAAACTTTCAGGCTCATAAAATTATGTTGACATATTTTCAGCAAAATGAAGTCTAGAACTATATTTATACACACATAAAATAAAACAATACAGTTTACCTTATTTTATTCTGAATATCAGCTTGCTACTGACTTACAACATTCGGGTATAATTTAAGCTTATTTCTAAACATGTTTTTAATAAACAACAAAATAACAAGGTGATAACAAAAAGCAGCCAGACCAAATCTGAATACCTCCAAAACACAAATCAATACTGTTACCATTTGGGTTACTCACTTCAGGCAGTCTGTAGTTGATCACAAGGGTCTCTCCAGATGCTCTGGCCCTCTTTGCTGTAAGAGCTTGAAGAAGTGTCTCCTGCTTGACCCGTAGTAATTCTGAGATGAGGAGGACTACCTCAGGATTTCGTACACCCACCGCCTCATCATGATGGTACGTCAATTTGCGAGGCTGAAATTCCACATTTCCCAGAAGTAAAACAGCTGACAAAACAGCAAACAGTCGCCGTTGCTTCTCCGGAGTGAATCCCACCATTTCCATTGACTGTTTCAATCGCGAGAACTCGTAGTTTTCATCAACATTGTCCAGGATGTAGCAACCACTCTATAAAATATACATTTTTAAAATCAATATGAAAAGGAAAAATAAAACTACTGTAACAAGTTCATTATAAACAATCTACTAACCTTGGCTTTATACACATTTACAACCCACCTTGCTGAGATAGCTGTAGTCCTCAGTCTTCTGCAGATGAAGTAAGTTCTTCTCTGAATCGGATGCTCCTGCCAGCAAGTAGTAAAATACATGATAGTTCCGTTCATTGCGTCCTTGTGAGCATATGCGTGACTTCTCTAGAAGATATTTTTGAACAACAGCACTGTGAACAAACAAACAAGAATTACAATACAATCCATTTCAGCAATATTTTATGTTCATCTTCCACAGACTTCCAAAGCATTAATGTAACATGTATTCATTTCATTGTTCCTGTAAGATGGCTGTCTACCGAATACAGAGAAATAAGGTCTGCATTAAAATTTAGGATTCTGACAAATTCTATCATGTTGCAGTGATGCACTGCCACAATTGTATTCCAAAGCAATAGCGAAACTCATACTCTTACACAGAGAAAATGAGACTGTGCCTGTACTTCTTTTTATTTAACAAATTTGGAAAATCAACTAGGATCTCCTTCAAAATAGTTTTCTGATTTGACACACAGCTGCATACGATGTTGCCAACATTCAAGGCAATTCTGTAGACCACTTTCTGAAAGGTTGTTAAGGATCTCCACCATTTTTGCCTTCACATCTTCTACCAAAAAAATGAATTCCTTTGAGCACTGGCTTGATTTTTGGGAAGAGGCAGAAGTTGCAGGAAGCCAGGTCTGGCGAATAGAGTGGATGCTCAAGCACAGTGATGATGTGATTAGCTAAAAACTGCTTCACAGACAAAGTGCTGTGGGCTGACACGTTGTCGTGGTGCAAAGTTCAACCATTTCCCCATAATTCTGGTTGCTTCCTTCTCAGGCGTTCGCGCAATTTCATCAAGACTTCAAGGTGACACTGCTGATTTACCATCTGGCCACTGGGAACCAACTCTGCCATTACATTACCCTGGATATCAAAGCAAACAATCAACATGGCCTTGAACTACAAACAACTCTTGCATGCTTTTTTTTGGTCTTGCAGATTTTGATGAATTCCACTGCACTGATTGTCATTTGCATTCCTCAGTCAATAACTGAAAAGTTTCTATCGCGGATTTCTTCAGTTTCACAAGAAACCTGATGTTAACTTGCTGTTCACTCTTGCACGCCAACATTTTCTGACCAAGGATGAGAAAACATCTATATTTGAACATGCATCCAATTATACTCAGTTAAGCTATGGAGCTGAGCGCTCTCACGGTGACACCTTAGAACATGCTCTATAACCATTTCTTTCTCTCTCCCCTCCCCCTCTCGGTTCCCAAGCTATAGGGTTAGTCTCCTTTTTTTTTTGTCTGACCACGTATGATGGCTGCTTACAGAGTACTCACAAATATCATCTACAATGACATTGAAGTTTCTGGTGAATTCCATAATGCTGTATTGACTCATTAACACAACTGTACCATTAAACCTTGACAGTAGAAACATTACAGTTTGCTCTATAACACATAAAATATATGACAAAACATCACAATATTTTTGTGCTTATAGGTGTTCTTTCTCTGAAAATATCATGTGCATTTATAACGTGTATTTTTTTTTAAACTTTTCCAGTCACTCCTAAGTACTGTATTTACTGTCTGATACTAGATTGTGAAAATTAGTTTAGCTACCACCACTTGCAAGAACCTAACTTCTCAGCAATGGCTCTTACTCTGTTGATTTTTATTTTTTGTGATTACTTACTTACTTACTTACTTTTAGTCATTAAATTTATGACTGGAAACTCTTGATGTCACATTTCAGTCAGTGAAGTGCCAAGTGGTGTAAAATTTAAAAAGAAAAGAAAAAAAAAAAAAAAAAGGTGGATTTGGGATTTCATCAATGACGCTTTGAGGGAACTTACGTGCAGTCAGTCCTGAAAACACTCATATTACGAAGTACAAATTTTTTGCTAAATTCCTTTCCATGCATTAGTTTCTAAATATGCCAAAGCATGACTCCATCATTATAATACTCATTACTTCATACATACCATTATGGGAACCTCTACACAAATGTTAACAACTTCTAATCCAAGATTTAGGCAACTGTACACCTTCAAAAGACTGATCCCTTGGGATGAACGTTTCCAAACACTGCTTTATTTTATGCTTTTCATACCTGATGCACTTTACATCAGTGATTACAAAATGATACCTAAACTCCATGGCTCAGGGTTCTTCCTATGCTGACAGTTGCTCATATGGTCAAGATATCTCCTGTCTTTTACAGAACCCATTGGTTCATTACTATATTCATTAGAGCTGATCACTGCAACCTATCATTAGCCAGCTGAATCCAATCAATGCCCTTCTAGCTTACATATTTAAAATCCATATGAATATTATTCTCAAATCTATTTCTCGCTCTCCTAAGCAGACTCTGGTCTCCACTGGTTTATGAATTATGAATTCCTTAAGCCTCCACTTTACATGGAAATATTTAGTGAGACGAAGATGAAACAATGTAACAATAGCAAACACCTTTGATATTTACAGAGTGTCCCAGGAGGAATGTGCCAAACTTCGGGAGGGTGTTCCTTATGTGATAGTATGCCGATATAACCCAAAACACCTATGTCCAAAGTTGAACAGTTACGGAGATAATGGCCCGAGAAAAGTGTGGTCTTCCGGCGAGTCCACGCACTGTACCTGTCAGCTGGCATGTCTTATCTATGTTTGTCCTTGAGTGTGGTGATTCACACTAGCCGTAAACTCCCTTCAGTATACGTTGCGGCCGCGTTTTGAATGGGTGGTAGGTTAATTGTGTGGAGTTGCTGAAATGCCTTTTGTGTTTTCAAACGTGGAATATTGTGATATGCATTTTGTGTTTGGATTTTGCGGTGGCAATGCACATGCTGCTGTTGAAGAATACCAAACGCGTTTTCCCGATCGAAGGATTACATGTCAAAGTGTATTTACGCGAATTCACCAGACATTGCGAGATACTGGTTCTCTTCCGAGTGTTTCTGTGCACTCTGAAAGGGAGGATGTACAAATGATAAACACACGAGAGAACGTTCTTGAGATGGTTCAGAGAAGTCCGCGTCTGTCCACTCGTAGAATTGCCTCTCGCATCAGCGTATCACGTATGCAGGTGTGGCGAACTTTACAAGGGGGTACCCAAAAGAAACCGAACTTATTTTTTTTTAACTTATTTATTCAAATTTTAAGCATAAACCTTCAATCCCATTCAAAGTACTCTACACTTACACTAATACACTTGTCTAGTCTTTTATTCCATTTTTCAAAACATTGTCTAAATTCATCTTTTGAGATGCTTGACAGCGCCTCCATCGTTTTTTCCTTGCATGTCTCTTTTCATTCGAGAAAACAAAAAAAAAGTCACACGGGGCAAGGTCGGGTGAGTATGGAGGGTGAGGAATAGGGGTCATACCATTTTTGGTCAAGAATTATCATACAGACAGGGCTGTGTGAGCAGGGGCATTGTCATGATGGAAAAACCAGTCACCCGACTGCCACAAATCCGGCCGCTGAGCTCCAAGTCACTCCTGACAGCTCCACAATTTCTTCGATGGTCCGTCGTCGATCTTCCTTGATGATTTCACGAATTTTTTCAACATTTTCATGTGTTCGGGCCATGGAAGGACGACCAGAACGAGGTTTATCATCAACTGACATTTCACCATTTTTGAAATGGGAAAACCACTCAAACACTTGAGTTTTCCCCATAGCATCGTCCTTGTACGCCATTTTTAACATTTCAAGAGTTTCTGTTCCACTTTTCCCGAGCAAAAAGCAGAATTTCACCGCCACACGCTGTTCACGAAAATCAGCCATTGCAAAAACGACGATCACACAAAATAGTTGTCACTATAACTCTGCCGAAACTAGTCCTTACCTTCTGAAGCAACGGTAGTTGGCTTATTGACTCAGGAATGTTAGCTCTATGTGCTCATAGCGGCAAAACGCGGTACTACAAAGGCTCTGCCCACAAAAAAATTAGTTCAGTTTCTTTTGGGTACCCCATCGTACATGATGAAGAGTTGTATCTTTACAATGATCAAAGGGTACAACATCTGGAACCAGGCGACCATGCACATCGTATGGATTTGTGCCACTGAATAAAAGCTCATCCCGAACTGCTAAGCGTCATTTTATTCTGTGATGAGGCGCAGCCAGGCATGTTACGTCAGCGCTTGTCATTCATGTGTCATGTATAGTCTTTGGAACCCTAAGGACAACTATGACATGGCGTGAGAGTATTTTTGAGGTCCAATTTAATGGCTTCATGTCACCCACAAGTTAGTTTGATGTTATGTACATTATTAACATTACAGAAACCATATATTCCTGCCAGTTTTAATATGTATTTGGTAATCAACAAGTATGTAACACATGTCAAAGTTTCACATTTCTCTGGCCATTACCTCCGAAACCGTTCAACTTTGGACATAGGTGTTTTGGGTTATATCGGCATACTTTAACATAAGGAACACTCTCCCGAAGTCTGGCACATTCCTCCTGGGACACCCTGTATAATTAACAACTGAATTACCATAATATATTTTAGTGGAAAATGCACTTAAAGATACTGGACAATGAAGTCAAAGAACAACTGTTACCTATGTACATGATACAATTTGCCTAATTTCAAACACCCTTCTCTCACCAGAGAGACATATCTTCACTGGATTTGGCAAATGATTTAACTCACATATCTGATTTACTCTTAACTAACAGTTCAAAAAAGATACAGAACTGTTTTCTGTCCTGTTGGATGTAATGAAGATCAGAGAAGTGCATTAAAATTATGCAAGACTTCAAAATAGAATAATTATTTACACTCTTACCCATGAACCATGCCATTCTCTTTGTAGTTCACCTGGATGAACTTCCCAAATCTGCTTGAATTATTGTTATGTGCCGTTTTTGCATTTCCAAAGGCCTTAAACAAACCAAGCAAAAGAATATATATGTCAGTTCTTATTCTAACATTACCACAGCTTCTTTTACAAGTCTGGATCTGAGGATGACATCATGGCAGCCATTTGATGTGCAGGAAAACCCACCACTCACACTTAGCTCATGTTTTAATTTCAGCTGATCTGACTCTCTACTACATCGGACAACATGAATAGTCATTAACTGAATGAACACAACATCACTGTCCTTTCCATCACTAAGGATCCTGAGAATTGTTATGGGCATTACAAAACAGAATCATTCCGCCATTTCAGAGGTATTCCCAAATTTGTTTCCTTTTGAACAATATTTCATACATTTTTTTCTGGAGTGCTGTTGACATGTTCTTTTCAATTTCTGCATTGCTTTATGAATTCTACATGTTTAACAACATATAATTAGTCTAAGCAGGGCAGCATTTGTCAGTTTGTTATTTTGCTGTAATGTCATTCTCATGCTGACCCCAAACAAATGAAATGCAAAAGTCATCTATTTAACACAAAGTTTACAGTAGTTGTTCATATTAAAAGGACAATAAACTGAAGCAGGCAGCATATCATAAAATCTTGCATAAAATAAACACTAACAGCTAAGAATATTTAGAATACAGTATTTCCAGTACTACAGTATTATGTAGTATTTCTACATTTTAATATTATTTTAACCTATTAATCTTTAATGAACGGACTTTTAAATTGCCGGCAGCCTTCTGTGGCTGGAATTTAAATCACTCCAAGTCTTTAACATTGCAAACTTTCAGAAAAAACTACATATTTTCCATTCTATGCAACATAGAAATACAAACTAAAAACAACCTGAGAGACAATAAAATTTTCTACATATACACAAAAGACCAATTTTTACAAACAAAAATTAAGTGTGATTATTTTGTCATGAAATGCAAAATATAATCTTTATTATGTTATGAAATTCCAGAGGACCTAACTGTAATTTTTTTGTCAACCTTGAAATTTGGTTATATTGTAAATATAATCTCACTATACTTGTATACATTATATTTTGTTCAGACTGTATGCAAGTTTGAACTGCGTCACTTCACAGTTTATGATACCTCACACTCTGATGCGCGTGCCACTTCTCAAAGAAGTCCACGACACAGCTCAACATCACACTTTTTACAATAGAAAATGGTGCTCCTGCTGTTCTTATTTAGCAAACATACACGGAGTCTTTGTTTCCCTTTGGTTGGCCAGTGTTGTGAATGTTTCGCCTCCAGTCGACTCAGCTGGGCCCCAGATAACCTTGGCCTCACATAAGAAACGCCACTCACCGTGATATTCGCCTTGTGCAATTGAAGAATAATCCTGGTGGAGGGGGGTTTCCAGCAAAATTGAATAAATTATGTTGATTGACAAAGCGACACTCTCACCTGTTAGTAATACTCGCAAAATAGTGATGCAAAGTACTAGTTGAAAAGAGTGCCAGTCCGACACTGATACCGAAAGTCACAGTGATGACTGTCAAACTGTCAGCACTCCCAAAGGGAGCAGTGTCCTGGCTCATATAAATATAACATTCGGCCATAGCGGGGTGCTGCTTGCTGTAGATATAATACAGCATTCGTCCGTTAAAGGTTAATATATATTTCTAATATTTTAAGGCTCCCAATAAGTGCATATAAAGGTGACTAATGAAGAGGAAAGATGCAGACTATATTTTTTGGTTTACTGTAACATACGAGGCTCGTCCACAAAGTAAGAGTCCCTGGGGCCATTTACAGAAACAAAACACAATTTCATGGAAATATTTATTGCAACAGATACAGCAAGTGTTCAGCTATTTTTCAACATAATCACCACCGGAATTGAGACATTTGTCACACCGTGGGACCAACTTCTGAATACCTGTGTCATAGAAGTATGCCGCCTGGGATTGGAACCACTGTGTGACAACCATCTCCACCTCTCTGTCATTCTCAAAACGCTGATGCTCACCGGACAGGAATTTCTTGAGCTGTAGGAAAAGATGGAAATCACCGGGAGCAAGGTCTGGGCTGTAGGGTGAATGATTAAACACCTCCCAGCTGAACTCCTGCAGGAGACTTGCTGTCCATCGAGCCGTGTGCAGCCTAGCATTATCGTGCAGGAAGACAATACCAGAACTAAGCATCCTGCGCCACTTGTTCTGAATGGCCCATCGCAATTTCTGCAGTGTTTCACAGTAATGTTCAGCATTCACCATCTCACCTCTAGTCAGGAAGTCAACGTGGAGAACGCCCCGTCTGTCCCAGAATACCGTGCACATCACTTTCTGCGCCGACGTCTGCTTGAATTTCATCTTACGGGGAGATCCACTGTGACGCCAATGCATTGACTGCTGCTTGGTTTCTGGGGTAATGTGTGCAATCCACGTTTCATCACCTGTGATGATCCGGTCCAGAAACTCGTCACCGTCATCATGGTACTGCTGCAGAAAGGTCAATGCTGACTCCATGCGCTTTGTTTTGTGTTCTGGTGTCAATTGCTTCAGCACCCACCTGGCGCACAATTTCCTGAACAACAGGTACTCCGTGACAATTTCGTGCAACAAGGAGCGGGAAATCTGCTGGACATGACTGCTGAGTTCCGCAATTGTGACGCGACGATTCTCCATAATGCGTTCCCGCACAAGCTCCACCAGGTCGTCTGTAATGATGGATGGCCGCCCACTGCGCTTCTCATCATGCACACTTTGTCGACCTGCTGAAAATTGTTTGCACCAGCGACGTACCATCCGCTTGCTCATGATGTTAGGCCCATAGACCCGGCACAGCTGACGATGAATTTCAATCGGCGCTATGCTCTGTGCATTGAAAAACTTTATCACTGACCGCACTTCACAGTGGGCGGGAGTTGGAATAAGAGCCTCCATCTTCAACAGCTGCAACGATGCTACTGTGGGAATGCGGGAAATTCCGTTTGTGCATGCGCCATGCTACGCCATTGCTCTATCACGTGCGTGCAGTCGCTTCGTGCAATATAAGGTTTGCTAGCTGTGGGATGAGTGGGAAACTTACTTTGTGGACGTGCTACGTACAATGTTTAGTACAGATCCATATAAGGGGCACAATTCAATAGTATAAGGATTATTAATATATCGCCTGATGATGGCTCCATGAGTTGAAACATGTTGTGACATCATACAACCAATAAACTCAGTTATGCACAGTGAAATGTGAGCGAGTTGTTTTGTATATCGTTGTGTTTGACAGGAAAACTAAAACTCATATATAGTGAAACAATTACCTCCAGCACAGGTCCAGCACTTAGTATGGTTTGCTCCACTCCGCTGCCATGGCTCCCTTTCTGACTCAGAGCAGTCAGGTGGTGCAGGAGAAAGTTGGTGCTCTCCGTCTTCCCACTTCCACTCTCACCACTGATTACTATGCACTGGTTTCGCCTTTCCTTTAGCATACAGTGATAAGCAGCATCCGCGACAGCAAAGATGTGTGGAGGAAGTTCTGGCCCTAACCTTCGATTCTGGTATAACTTTACATACTTTGGGTTGTATATTGGATGAAACTAGAACAGCAGACAAACACGTTTTATTTGGCTTTATCCTGTCATTAGACACAACAAACAGAGCTAAATGACTAAAACCGAAATGCTACAAATCAATGTCATGTGGAAAACAGAGAATTAATTAATTTGCAACAATACAATTTGCCCCACTATTCTTGTGAAAGCTAGTGATGATGTGTGAAATGGTACAGACTGCAGCTGTTTAACAATGCTGTTATCAACTTGCTAGGCTATTCAGAATTAATAATACCAAAATGGAGAATAATATAAATCCAAACATGAGTATGAAGCAGAACTCAAAGAAAAAGACTTCTCAGCACAGATGCTTTGCTGACCACCCCAAAGCCTTCGGTATGTGGGCAGGTCTCACACTCAAATCCATTAAATTAAAAGGAAATGTAAAAGCTAAAAGGCACATTATTGCAGTCATTAAGAAATGTGAACTATATGTAATATAAAATACAACAATATGCCTCTTGACATCATTGTTTTTTTACTCTATCACCTGCTATTCTGAAGAACACAATGTTACGGAAACTTGATTTGTTTCCATCCTCAAGTGGGTGGGGGGAGACATCTCTGTTGGGTCCATTAAAAAGCGCTAACCTACTTTCTAAACACTGTGTTCTTTTGGCGACTGGACGATGGTCAAAGTCCAAAAATTCAGCAATCCTGAGTGTTACAAAATGTCATCAGAACCCTTCAGAACCCAACAGAATCATTTTCCATCTGTCACAATAACACAGATCAAAAAGTTCATAATTATACAATAAAGTAACCATACAATGTACCCATACTGATACAATTTTCACTCAGAAAGACCTAAGGAATAACATTCAACATTATGACATAAGGCAGGGGTCTCCAAACTTTTCGAAATGCAGGCCACATTAGGTAATTCAGCACTTTCAATGGGCCAGAAAAATTGAGAAATTAATAACTATAGGAATATGAGTTTTATTGAAAGCACAGAATTTCATAAACTAAATACAAAGTATGTGAGAATAAATTATCGTATATTAATGACAACAGACAGTAGCAGCAAATGCTCATATTTTCATCACAAATTATAATAAAACAATTAATGTGGATTGAACTCTTTTTGCATTCTTAAAATCTGTTTAAATTGAGGTTAAAAATCTGAAAAGCTAATCACAAGTAGCGACTTTAAATGTTCATCAGATAAATTTGCCCTGTATTTCGACTTGATGTACTTCATCTGGGAAAAAGTTTGTTCACACAGATATGTCGTTCCAAAAATGGAGATAAATTTATAAGCAAATTTCTTTAAATTTGGAAATTGTTCAGAGTTCAGAAATTTATAAAATGCTNAGCAAATGCTCATATTTTCATCACAAATTATAATAAAACAATTAATGTGGATTGAACTCTTTTTGCATTCTTAAAATCTGTTTAAATTGAGGTTAAAAATCTGAAAAGCTAATCACAAGTAGCGACTTTAAATGTTCATCAGATAAATTTGCCCTGTATTTCGACTTGATGTACTTCATCTGGGAAAAAGTTTGTTCACACAGATATGTCGTTCCAAAAATGGAGATAAATTTACAAGCAAATTTCTTTAAATTTGGAAATTGCTCAGAGTTCAGAAATTTATAAAATGCTATCAAATTTCCTTCCTTCCATTTGTCTTTAATATGATAATTTTCCTGAAGTTCAATAATTTCCATTTTAATTTGACTTGGGACATCTGCAGCATCACAGTCAAACAGATTTTGAAACACTCTTATTTCCTGAGCACTGGCATCCAAATCAGCAAATCGCTTCCGAAATTGTTCTTTCAAATCTGAAATGACTAACTTTGCAAACGAGGAAGGAAATTCTGCTTGCGCTACCTACACTGCCATGAAGTTACACTGCCAATCAAGGCCAAACAAGTACAAAGAAATACCGTTCAGTATACGGTCCAGAATTAGTAAAATTGTGAATAATATTAATATTAACATAATATGGAATATCAATATATTTTAAACACAATCTTAATTAATGAATTTGAAATCTATGAACAAGTATTTTTCTTACCAGTACTCATTGGAGAATTAGTTCAATTGGCACATTTCTGCACAATTCTTTCACGGGCAGGATAAAATCACATCACGGGCCGGATGTGGCCCGCGGGCCGTAGTTTTGGAGACCCTTGACATAAGGCATGAAACATCCTGCATATGTGTGTGTGTGTGTGTGTGTGTGTGTGTATTTTTAATTATTTTGGGTTATATCTTCTACAGCACATAGGCACACACAAAAAAAATCTATAGTACCAACACTCTGAGAAGTGGAAAGGGCAGGAATTTCTTCAGTTACTTAAAGATATCATCAGATTAGTTTTCATCCTTAAGAACTTATTCCAAGTCATGATGTCAGTCATATTACCAGTTTCTAACACAGTTTAGTGCAGTAACTGTCCCTGTATTTAATTAGTAACTACATCATGAGATCCATGAACATTTACCATGGTAAGCAGATTATCATAATCCTAAGCCCAACCAAGTAAGAAGCTGAAGGAACAGTTCTAGTAGCCTCAGAGCAGATCTTGCCTGAATTCTTGCTATGGTGATAGGAAAATGAGTGGGAGGTAGGTGGAGGAGACATAAAGACAAATAGGAAACTGCAGATATAGCTCATCCATTGTCAACCTCGGTAAAAGACTGGAGGTGGGGTTGGTTTCACGGTCCAGCCACTTTACCCCTGAGGAAAGACACACCCATACTAACTGGAAAGGAGATTGGGTGGGCCCTAGAACTGGTCTGGATGATGATGAAAAGGGAAAATCTCTTGCCCTTGCTGGGAATTGAACCATAATTCCTCAGCCGTCTGGCACATAGCACAGCCACTATACCAGCTGAGCTATCCTGGCTCCTTAGTTTCGCAGTTTTAAAATTAAGGGATTCTACTGCACAGAAGCAAATGATTTGCAACACGTTCCAGATATTCCTATTTCTCATACTGACATCTGTTTGTGTATATACTGTACTATATAATTTTCAGTTAATGATAATGAGCTGTCCTACAGACAATTAACTATGAATAATGTGGGAAAAACATCAATTCACATGTTCCTGGAACCATGCCTATAGGAACCACAACAAAAGGCAGACACATAAAAATAATCAACATTTTATCTACTATGAACTTCTCCAAGCATGCATTACTCTAAAGTAAAAAGAGTCAATGCTGCTGTAAACACCACAATCCTTTAAACCTATTGCTAAAACATTTATAGTTACTGTGCAAACAACACATACCAAATCACACTGCAAATTCCTCAATAAACACAAAATACTGGTCATTTATTTCACAATGCTCTAATGGATATAAACATTCCACATGGTAATCTAACAGATTTCAATCTAGAAAATTTGATGACCATTTTTGAGCCTGACAAATTCATTTGTACCATCACCAGACACCATCAAAGGAGCAGGTAACATCAACGTAAAAATGTATATTTTTAACGTTCAAAATGGAAAATATTCTGTGTAATGAATCAACCGAACTGAATACACCTCTTTATACACATATTCAGGTATCATATGACATATCAGTTTCATTAAAATGAACAGAGTTTGTCATTTTTTCCATAAAAAATTGTGCCACTGAGCATAAATTTCATGGGTGTGAATAAGGGCAAAGATGTGAAGCATGGTCCTATCCAATTAGAAGGGGCTATGTGGTTAAGAAGAAGAGCTGGAGGAAAAGGGGTGCTGCCAGACTTCACTATTCATAACCACCTTGGTCCAAGTTGGTTAGCAGACACATCATGAGATCAGTAAATGACACTCTAGCTCAACAATTCATTATCCTTGGGCATGTCAATTTTATGAGCTACACAGTCACTGACTTTCTGAACATTATACATTATCTTTTTTTTTTTTAACAACACTTTGGAGACTGAGCTCTGTCTCTGTCCTCAGGTAAGAGCCTAATCAGTTGGGCTCACTGAAGACAGTCCACACCTCTGGTTGAAATGTTAAAAAAAACCAGGGCAATAGATAATGTCCGAAAAGTCAGTAACTATATTAATATACAATCATCACAAACTTTTATATCTTATTCAAGAATTATGTTTATTTTTAATAATAAATAAAAATAATATTAAGTCATGAAAGTTGCATTATTGCCTCTATATGCCACTATAATCAATAAATTAAAATTTGAAGAACTAGTTCAAGGCAGTTTACAAGAAATTTGAAAGAGAAAGTACAGAACTGCCACAATTTGAAATATAAACAAAAGTAACTAAAAATAAATTTTTAAACACAAGTCTGCCTTGCCCACATAAGTAAACAAACAAAATCTAACATGACAGCATTTTCTTTTAAATAACATTTGGTGTGGATGTTCAAAAAATACACATGGGCTTCTGTTATCAGATGCCAAATGGAAAGCCATATGTACAATTTACATATGTATGAATAAAGAAATTCCAATATTATAATGGAATATCATAACATTTCAAATCTGGATATATAATCAATTTCTGTACACTGTTCAATATGGCAGCTTGCCACACTTCAAAACCACTGAACTACAGTAAAGTTCACCAGCACTTATGGTTTTATTAACATGATGATAACAGTACACTCATACAAATACTTGCCTTGAATGGGTTGACAGCAATAAGTATCGAGCCTACATATGTATAAATGTGACCAGCAATAAAGCGTGCTCGAAGATTGTCCAGCAAAACTACTTCATTAAGATCTGGCAACTGACATAAGTCAGGATATTCCCGGTCTTTGGGCTGGTAAAGGAATCTATAGAAGTAATCCCGGATGAGTTGTGGATCCATCGTGAAACTATCAGTCCACAGAGAGTCACTCAGTTTCTCACGAAGATAAAACCTTTAATGAACAAAACAGCATTACACAAGGTTCTGACAATGGTGGATGACACACAAAATTACTGGGTTTTTGGGCTTTTTCCATTGTCCGGAATTCTAGGTAAGAGAGGACACAACATTTCGGAAACTGAATCTGTTTCTGTCTTCATGCAAGAAAGGAAGACACATACACATCTGGGGCCCTTAGAAAGAGCTAATCTCAATCACTACCTACAATTCTGGATGATGGAAAAAGTCCAAAAACCCAGTAATTCTGAGTACCAGATTAGTTAAAAACCCTAAGTATTTAAAATGTGTTCGTCTGAGGTATGACACCACATAATCTTGTATGTGGTTACCTACATTTTAGAGGAACCTACTGCTTCTATCTTCAGGATAAAAGCTTCTTCTCTGAAAAGGGAAACAGAAGGTTCCTCCATAATGTCAACAACTGCACATAAAACTATATGGTTTCATAATCCAAAACATCACAATCTAAATTTCACCATGTGTGAAAACCTCAGCCTAACTTCAGTAACTGGCAACAATTCAGAGACAGTTATACTTTCTTTACTTACAAAATTTACTGTCAGACATCTGCAGTTGTACTAGCCTATTTAACTATTTTTCTTGTGTATGACACACTTTCACATTTGCACCCAACTTTACAAAAGTACTTGAGCCTCTTCACAACACACAAACACCCCATTTACTGCCAACAAGAACTGGTTTCAGTTTACTAGAATAATATACATATTCACAATATGGTGACCAGACACAGATGTCTGTCCTAAGGCTACTTACAGGTCAGGTCAACGCAGAATATTCATCCAGCCCCAATAAAATTGTACTCATCACAACCACACACCATTTCTTTCTATGGCTGTCCACTGCTCCCAACTCAGCTGGAGCTCAACTGTGCCAACTTGACATCAAAAGTATCACATGACCACTATTAAACCTGAGTTTCATCATGTATCATTATCACACATAACTGCCTCTGAATCTGACTTTAATGTACACCCAACATAAATCATTCTGTAGGATTTGAGGTTCTCACAGTGGTGGATATGAATAGTTCTGTCTTCTGGAATAGAATGCAGAGTAGTTCGTTGAAAGTCAAGTGCTCTGCTTGCCAAATGCTTCATGCTGGTTTCTTGCTTAGCTTCTCCTTCAACTCTGAAGGTGAAGGTGACATGTTCCTCCAAAACGTAGACTGACTTTCAACTGACTACATCACATCACATCTCAGCAGACAAATCATTCTAACCTGTTTAATATTCCTAGACCTAATAAAAATAATATACCTAACATTCTTAGACTAACATAAACCATTCTACCCTACCTAACACTCTCAGACTTAGCACAAACATTCTAAATTTGGTTGTATTAGGACAATTAGCCATCTATGGCCAAAACATGCTGTGTCAAGTGTTAAATGGTGAATAAGTAATTGTTGCATTAGTGACAGACTGTGGATACATAGACATTTAATTCTAAATTATCTAAATTCTTCAGACCTAACATAAATCAGTTTAAGATACCCTGAACTGCTTTGAGTTTATTCACCATTATAAGACCATATTAAAACAATTCAAGCTTATTTTCATGTTCAAACAAAATTAACAAATATTTCAGAAAATTATTTTTCTAATAAATTATGTAGCAGTATTTTTTTTAATTATTAGCCCATAGAGTTAAACATTTTGTAATGCAGTATTACAGGGTGTAATTAAATCCCAGAAAAATAATAATCTTACACAAATGAAAACATGCTCAAACACTAATGTGTAACAACTGCAAGACATTGCAATGGTTAAGTAAATGCATCTAAACTGAGTCTCATCACCTGGTTTAAAAAATCTTAATGATGAAAATAACGATTTTCTAACATCTACAAGTTTGGAAGTTCATAACTGTTGAATTCAAAACATTATATTTTCACAATGTAATAAAATTATACAATTAAAAAAATGTTACCTATAGTATTCTTGCTGTGAGTGTAATAGCTTTGGCCACAGCAACATGAGAGCCACAGGACTTTCTGTGGGACCCAGACGTCGTTCTTTACATTCTTGACCTACTGAGTCTCCTATCACCTCAGCCAATTCATAACTGCCACCTGGACTATCTGCCAATGACAGTCGTTCCACAATGCATGACACAATCTCGTCCGAAGTTGTCTGTTTACTTGCTTCAACTGAGAGTGCTTCATAATGCTGTGACAGTGCGCCCACAAACACTTGTACAATGTATCGGTTGTTTTCTGTGCCTCCAGACATTCTTAGTGTACACTTAGGCTGTATGCATTGATTCCCTTGGTTCTGGCCTAATTAGTTCTGTTCCATTTTGTAAGAGAATATTGCACATTTTCCCCTTGAACTTTTTGTCGTCAGTAATTTACATCGGAATGTGTTCTGTAATACACATAGTGGAAACGTTTACGTTCTTCTACTGTTCCACTACAGCCTTTGAAGATCTTCAAATCATTTGAGGCCATTAACTTGTTGACCCATGCTGCTGAAACAACCATATTCTTTGGTTAACGTCACAAAAACAATTTATATCGTATATACACGCCTTAGCTTACACGTTAATTCTGGAATGCCACTGTTACAAGTATAATTTTAATCACGTATGTATAGTAAATGTCAGATTGGGGTCACATGTTGATGTCTGTCAAGCCATCAATAACAGAAGACTTGAACTTCACGACAAACAAAATATTATTACCAAAGTTTGCAAACACATTTCCCGAAAAATATACCAAATAAATCTGCGCCTACGACATGCAAATGGTGAATACCGGTTTATAACGGCAAACATCTACAAAAGGAAACAATGCTTACACACGGATTCGGCCACCATTCAATGCCGTGCAAAACATCAAAAGTGACGTTCATCTTTATAAAGTAGTCAAACAGTTCACTAGGTTAACGTTCTGACATACCTACATGCGTAATACAGATTCAATTAAACACATTGCTAGCAACAAAATCTATACTTCAAACTAAACTGTTAGCTTTCAAAATAACTACACAGAGCAAATAACACCCACCATTTCTGAATGAACAGTTACCATAATGCATTGGTGTTGCGCATGCGCAAATGAACACTGCAACAGTCATTAAACGAAACTTAATTAATTTCTTTTAAACTCATTACACAGCTTCCGATTCACCCTCTGAATGTAATAGTGCCTGAAGACAACATTTTCAAGGAGAAAGTTATGTTATTTATAGACACTACCGAACATTACTTCACACCTCAATAGAGTTGGCCGTGGTACATCTTGACGGGAAATATGGCCAACCCTGATATACGACATACTCCCATACACAGAGCTCATAAGGATAATACCATATTCTGGGCTGCAACGCATTGTAGTTCGGGAGGGGTCCACCTGTGTTTCAGAGGAAAATATGGCCTCCATTTTCAGTTTCGAGCAGTATCCCAGACAAGAAACTTGAATGAAGTTGGCTGCTGCTTACTTGCTTCCTGCAAACTGCCAGTGGACTCTTACTGAAGTACACAACATTACAACCCAGATGGTACTCCTCATAGTCACCCCTCTAAGAACCTGAAATGTAACATAAATTCAACTGTCCGACTAGAATAGGTCCCACTTCTGTCACACTCATAGATCATTTCTTCCTAGATAAGAATGTCTTCAATAAATTTCAAACCCATTCTGCAATAAACAGGTTTTCAGACCCTGGTGGACAATTGAAAATTGACTTGAAAATTTACAGGTGATAAAGAAAAGGGACCATGTAAGAACATTTAGGGATATCAATGATGAGAACATAGCATATTTCCAACGGGCATTACAAAATGAAAATTGGGAAACAGTTTATGATCAAGAGAACAGTAATATGAAATTTAATAAATTTCATAATACCTTCTTAAAAAGTTTAGAAAACAGCTTTCCCCTGGTGTACAAAAAATGAACGACACCAATAAATGGATAACCAAAGGTATACGAACATCTTGTAATCATAAAAGAGCTTTATACAACTTCGTTAAAAAATCAAAGGATGAAAGATTGGAATCATACTGTAGAAAGTACTGTATGACATTAACGAAAGTGATAAAAGAAGCTACGAAATTGTGCTACCAAAAACTTATAAGTAACTCAGAAAACAAAACACAATTAACCTGGATGATTATTAATAAAGAAACTAGGGGCCCAGATAATATAACCGAATTGAAAGTGGGGAAAAGCAAATTAACTAATACTAAGGAAGTAGTAGAAGTATTCAATAAATACTTTATAACTGTAGCTGAGAATCTGGAAACGAAAAGTGCCAATAAAAATGCAGCCATTAAATTCTCAGAAACTTCGAAATTTGATTAATTCCCTGAACTGAGGCTAATACCTACAACAGAGGTGGAAATAAAGAGCATACTTATGCAAAAATCAAAAGATTCTACATGATATGGTGGCATTTCGAGTAAGATATTGAAATATTGTATAACTGAGATTAGTAAACCATTGTGTCACATATTTAATGCATCTTTTGTGCATGGAATATATCCTGATAGAAAGAAATTTGCCTCATTAAGAACTATGTACAAAACAGGTGAGAAGGCAATTATGGAAAACTATAGATCAATATCATTGCTAATAGGTTTTTCAAAGATTTTTGAAAGAGTGGTGTACAATAGGATAAAACAACACATACATACAAACAATTTAATGTCTTTTGCGCAGTTTCGATTTAGAGAACACAGTAACACAGAAATGGCAATATATACATTAACTATTCATATTTTAGAAACGTTGGAAAGACATGATCATTCATTAGGAATTTTTTGTGATTTGACAAAAGTTAAAATCAATATGACCAGATAATTCAAGAATAAGTGACTTGTTGAGCTTATACCAGCATGCTATGAATGTATACTGCGCAGTTCTCTTCTGCTTAAAGGAATCAAGACACCATGTTGGATATGTGATAGAAAGGACATCATGTGATGGAGGGACATCTATGTAGGCTGCTTAGAAAGAGATCGAGAATACCAGGCCATCAAGAAGGGCACCAATCTGCAGTGAACATTACACTAGCTATCCATATCATTATTCTAAGGCCACGCCATAGCTTAAGCGATTAGTCGCTGGCTTCCCACCACTGCGATCTGGGCAAGTGGGATTTGTGATGGACAAAGTGGCGCTGGGGCAGGTTTCCTCCGAGTACTTCGGTTTCCCCTGCCAATCTTCATTCCATCAAATTCTCCACAAATAAGAATATCTAACTAATTCTAAATTGTAATCAACTGTAAACAATTGTAACTATTGTAATTTTAATCTTACTCATATATTAAATTGTTAATATTCAGAATTAACTTGACTTGTCCTATATCATGTACAATGATCTACAGTGACGAAATAAATCAATCAATCAATCAATCAATCATTTGACTGTGTGAGTCATGATATTCTTTTGAGTACATTAGCAACATACGGCATTGGTGGTAAAATAAAAATATGGTTGAAATCCTATCTGGAAAATAGAAGACTGTAACATGTCACGCAATGGAGAACCCCTCCCTACCCAACTGCAACGTGGCAACTCAGGCCACAGGCGCGTGGCGGTAACGTAGTGCCCCCTCCCACCCCTCCGCGGTGACGTAACGCGCAACGCTACGTACCCGTAATCAACTTCCTACTGTGACGTGGCACTCATTACGCAACAGGCAAGCACTGCAGCTATATAAGTGAGCTGCACAGCAGCCACCAGTCAGTTCTACCGTAGCAGTCGGCGACTTCAATTGTACTGTGACAGCCGCTGAGTTATANTGGTTGAAATCCTATCTGGAAAATAGAAGACAAAGAGTTGAACTCTATAATAATGAAAATGGAAAATGCTGTTTAGACTGGGGAACTGTCAAATATGGAGTGCCACAGGGCTTGAGTTTGGGTCCTTTGTTGTTCTTTTTATGTATTAATGAACTGCCATCAGCATTAAGTACTGACAACAAGTTATTGTTGTATGCCAATGATACAAGTATATTAGTGTCAGGCATTAATATAAATGAAATTCAAGAAAGGTCTACTTATGTTAAATTCCTTAAGTCAGTGGTTTAAATACAATGGCTTATCCCTAAACTTGAGGAAAACTAAAGTGTTAAAATTTGAAACAATCGTGACAATATGCCTGTACATTTAAAGTTTAACGATGAATTATTACAAGAGGAAACTCATATTAAATTTTTGGGTATTGAAATTGATAAGTTCTTGAATTGGAAGACACAGGTTGAATCATTGTTACTCAGATTGGGAAAGGCATGTTATGCAATATGAATTATGAAAACATATAGTAATGTTACAACACTTAAAATATATATCATGCATACTTTCATTCACTCATGAGATATGGAATAGTTTTTTGGGGTAATTTGTCAGAGGCCAAGAAGATCTTTCTCTTACAAAAGAAGACTAGTAGAATAATAATGGGGATGAAACATAGTCATGTAGGCCAGCATTTATAAAGTTATATACATTAACATTGGTCTCTCAATATATTGTAGCGTGTTTGTGTGTTNTTTATCCTTGATGACTTTTATGATAAATAACTTGGAATATTTTACTTTTAATTATTCAATTTATGAGAGACCGCCAAGACACGAAAGAAATTTACATGTCCTACAGTCACATCTCACAATGAGGCAGAAAGGGGTCCATTGCATGAGTATAAAATTAACAGTCTGCCTGATTATTTAACTGATTCAGTACATGATAAAAACAGTTTATAAAAGAAATAAGGGATATCCTAATACATAATCCGTCTTATACTGTTGATGAATTTTTGCTCTTCTGTCGGGATCAACAGCTAAGGAATAGAACTATTGAATAGGACTATTTCCACATCCTAGGTTTTTTACTTGTATGGATATAAGGAAAATAAAGGAAATGAATGAATGAAAGAAGGGGAGTGCATGCTGACTGATGGATGTCCCACAGTAGGCATCAATATAGACATTAAGTGTAAATATAATCGGCATTTTATATATTTATTTAGATGCACGTTGTTTGCACTTATGTTTGTTTGTTATTGTGATATGGCATGTTTGAATTGTAAAGATGTATTGTTGTTTGTAAAGCTTGTAACATGTTTCATATTCAGTGCAGATTGGACTTATGAATATCCTGAAACACTGATGTATGTATGTAACTTAACGAAGCAAAGTCCACGTTCATCTGTTGCAAAACACTTCTCTAAGTGCTAATAATTATGATTATTGTCTTCTGGGATGTGGCAACTTTCTTTTGGGTGGAAGTAAGAGACTGGTGGATGAACCACATCCAAAACACTGGTACCAGCATAGTGAATTACATAGCACCAAATACAAAAGAGGATGCTTCATTTCACGAAAGGTGTAAATAACAGAGTGTCACGCAGACCTTTATTTAAAGAATTGAAGATTTTAACTATTACGTCCTTGTACATCATAGAGGTGTTGTGTTAGTCAATTCAATTCAA